TTTAATTTTTTTTATCAAATAAAAATATTCAATAAGAACTTTATATAAGATAAAAAAAAAAACTTTTCAATTGTTGTTTATTTAAATTATTAAATTTTCATATAAAATTTATCTCTAGAAAGTTAAAAAGTTAAATTAGATTTATTAAAAATGAAGAAAAGAAATAAGTATTAAATTAATATAAAAATTAATATGTATGATTTATATGAATTAAATTTTTAATCTAACAGTTAGCTTTTTTAAAATATTAATTAGAATCTAGATTTTTAAACATGTTCTTCAAAAAAAAAAAATGGAAGGTCAACTTGTATTATTAACAAATATAACTTAAATTATTTAGGTTACCTTTTTAACCTTGTTAAGTTTTTAAATTATTATATATGTAAATTTATTTATATAATATAAGTTTTAATTTTAAATCAAGCACTTTCGAATAACTCAGGAATAATTAGGAGCTTCGAACCCAAACTTGTTTTTTTGTGGAGCTCAATATTAAATTTAAACTCAATTCATTTGCCAAATTAGTCTAATTTAAATAAAAATCAAGTCAAATTTGACTCAAATAACTCACAAGTTGGTGACAAAATACTCTATTAGTTACCAGCCTTATGCGCAACACTTTTCCCTTTTTTGATAATCTTTTACAGTCCCAAATCTTTTACCTGATGTAGTACTAACCATTCAAACTTTAGAAACAATTTTCTAAAAAAACAAAACTTGCTGTACCACATAAGTAATTTCTAGCATATCTCGACAAGTTTATTTATTCTTTTAAAGAAACAACACAGTTTTAACAAGGGTGTTCTACTGTCCTCAAAATTTTTTTTTTGCAGGTTGACCTGCTTGTCCGTTTTCTCATCTCGTTAGTGCTATTTAAGATATCTTGTTGAAACTTAAATATTTTAATAAAAAATAAAATAATATATTTTATAAATTAATTTTATTGTTTTATTAAAGATTTAGTCAAACTAACCGTTGTAAATTAATTGTTCTATTTAAGAGCACATTATGTCATATTAATTGCCTAATTTATTCATATTATTAACTTACAAATAGGAGTTACAAGATCATGAGTTTTATAAATAGAACATGTTTATTTGCTCAAAAAGAGGGTTCCACCACATTCTTCTATTTTTCTTACCTTACTTTATTTTCTAAATATTCTTGGATAAAGAAGGGTGTTTTGAGTTATGTGACTCTATGGGTAATGCAGATTCATAGAATATAATTATAAAACTGTAGCATCTTGGGGGCAACATGCTATATATATATCTATACTACATTGGTTGATTTACTTTTTGTAGTGGTGTGAATCGCCTTAAAATAAGTAAACTTTTCACGTCTATTTGGATGATATTTTGTTATTGATATTTATTGATAAGTCACTAATTATTATTTTATTTGATTTTGTGACTGAAGCACAATACTAACATGATGTGGAGATGGAGAAGAATGTTCAAAAAACAACAATTTTAAGGCGATTCAATATGCTAAACAAAAATGAAAACATTTACCACTTTGTGTAAGCAAAATACTTTCTTGATTATGTGTGTGCCAAGTAGGTATGGGCTTCTGACACTTGCAATATTTGATGCTCTATCTATTTAGTGAATCATTATCCAATATTCCAATTGTATACTAGAACTGTTGGAAACTTGGAATGATAACTTATGGCTCCATGAATTTTCTTGGTATCATTGCATAGCTTGCCTGAATTGTAACCATAAGCATGAGTAATTCTTGTTTTTGCATTTTAGTAGCATATCATGGAATAGCCGTTCTGTTAAATATTAATTTGGCACATTAAATTTGTTATTCCACTTAATTAGTAGTTTGATGATGACATACCAACCATTTGATATCTGTTCAATATTTCTATAATTATTATATAAATTACTTGGGTGTTTTGACATGGTTGTTTTGCTTATGAATGGCTTTATTTCTAACGGTAAAAAACAAAAAGAAAAAAAAAGAGAAAAAAAGGGGAAACTTTCCGTTCATGCAAGCATGTGGCATTACTATGTAGACATGATAGTTAACTTTACCCAACATTCATGTCTAGTCTTAATGACATTATGATTTACTGTTAAATGTTAGAAATGAATGTGGACTTTTTCTTGGGCAAATATATGTGTGATAATTGATAGCTTAATGTTATTAGCCGTTGGTATGAAATACATATTAAATTTGTGCTAGTTAATTAATAGATTAATGGTGCATTTTAGCCATTATCAGTACTATAATGGCTATATTTATAAGAATTATTAGTTAGTTGTTTGTTCTTAATGTATATGGTAAATATTTGGTCCATTTCCAATAGCTATGAAGGAAAAAATTTATGAATAAATTTGTGAATTTAATTGACCATATTATTAAATTCTTTGATGCAACAGGTGAAA